TGCTCTTCCGATCTGAAATCAACTCTTTAATTTTGGAAGTCATAATAAGTTACAAGTTCTTATTATGAATGAGGCAATGAAAGACTGTGATTTCTTTAATAAAATTATTTCCGGCGAATATCCCAACTTAGAAATTTTGTCTCTCCGTGAAAATTGTTTGTATGGTTTGCAGGCTTTGCGGTTTGATCCATTTCCTAAATTAAAGATTTTGGATCTCTCCGGAAACAGCATATCACGATCCAATTTTGTAAACTTCCTACCGGATAGCTTATACTATCTTGATCTTCACGATAATTCCCTTAGTTCTTTGGATTTAAGCAACAGAACCAACAAATTGTACGCATTGAACTTAAATAACAATAGTTTGAAGTCCATTAAAAAGTGGAGTAATGGGTATAACAGTCTATCAGTGATTGGTTTGAAAGATCTACAGTTTCTTTCGGTTTCCGAAAACGAGATTAATAATATCGAATTAGATGCATTTCAAGATAATAACGAACTACTCTACTTGAATTTATCCACAAATCACATAAATGATTTACGTCCAAACACATTTACAAATTTGCAGTATTTAAAAACGCTCGATTTAAGTAACAACAGACTTGAAGGAGTTCCGCAAATGTTAAATCAAATTAAAATAAATGCTTTATATATTAATCAAAATAAAATTAAAAAAATAATCTCAAACAATTTTGTGCAAATGCCGAAATTGACAAAATTGTTAATGGGAAAGAATCAAATTGATGAGATCGATGTTGATGCATTTGCTTATCTTTCTATCTTAGAAGAATTAGATCTGTCGACGAATATGTTAAGTTCTCTGCCGGAAAGATGGGCAGAATCCCTTGTATCTCTAAAATATTTGGATTTGAGTAATAACAAATTTACTTCATTGGAGTCTTTGTCGCTAACCAGTGCGTTGCCAATAATAGAAATATATATAATGATGAATCCAATAAAATATCTGAATGTAAAATATTTTGAAAATTTACCGCAGAATCTTACCATCCACTTAATAAACTAGTCAGTTTATAAATGTTTTGGATGATATGAGCAACGAATGAAAATGAATTCTGAATGATTAAAATTTTAATTCTGTATACATAAAAAAATGTTGTGTTTATGTATTGAAAATAATAGATATGTAATTAAGATATAGAATTTTAAAAAATAGTGTAAGATTTTTCTATATGCAACTGAAATTAAATTATCGAATTAAGCAGTTTATAAACTTTTACTACATCTGTATGAAATTATTTTTATTATAGTTAATAATAATGAGTTCTTCGACTTTTGAATAATTATTTGTACTTACTAATTACATATTAGGTTTTTAACTATATCATATAGTATGGAAATGTTATATATTATATGTTATAGAATATATCATATGTTATAGAATATATAATAAATGAGAACAGTTTAAAAAATTATTGTTTTTATTTATTAAAATTGTCTCCGAATTTTAGATTATATCCTAATTATTAAAAACTCTTATTGTTACACA